TAATTAACGACAAATCAATATCTTTATCTTGTATCTCATGCCATCGTGGCAATTAGTAAAAAATTCTCCCTCGATGTAATACAAGCTTAGTCTATTATATTAAATGAAAAAAAAAGGTGAAAAAGTCAAAACAAAATTCCAAGGTTTTGCCACGGTGACATATTATATAGGATAAAAATGCTAATATATCGCTGACTAGAATAAAGATAATGTCTAACTAACAATATGTACTTCAAATATATTAAATAAGGAGAATTTCTTTGAAATTATATTATTGGGAGGTTAAAACTCTTAAATTTTAAGATGTAGTTAATAACTTTAAAATTTATAAATTAAAAGACTAAATAAGGAGTTAAGCAAATAATACATATATATAAGTTAATAGAGTCATAAATATATTTATTTTTTTATATCTCACATTTTTAATAATTTTATTTTATCTCAACCACCAATAACTCAAACATGATGAGAGAAAATCAACTTTTACTATGCAATTAAAAAAAAGAAATAGGAAAATAATTTTATCCCTACCATTCGGCCGCATTTAGGACGTGGGGTTGCTAACCTTTTTATTTTTATATGAATTACATGCATATATGTTACAGATCAGATTTGTTCGCACAATATGCAAATGGTACAACATAATCATCTTTTGAATATAATAATAAATGAAAATTACAAGAAAACAAGAATATACTTGATGTCTAAAACCTAGACAAGGCCAAACTTGAACCCACATCATCGAAGTTATGGGCCCAGTCCTGAGGCTAGGCCGGAAGCACTCCTCGGCGTACACATAATAAAATTGGATTCAATTTGTAAATTCAATCTATTTCATTTGTTGTGAGTAGATTAATGAATTTAAAGTATTAATTTAAAATTTAATATAATTCAGACTAAAATTATTTAAATTTGATTGAGTTAGGTAGTTAGGATTAGCTTGGTTCAACTTGAAGTAAATCAATTAAAATTAATTAATTTTTAAATTTTTAAATTTTAATTAATTACTCTTTTAATTTTAATCTTAAATTTTAAAAAAATTAAATACTATAAAGTAATTATTATTTATTAAATCATTTGAGTTAATATTAATTTAATATATTTGTTTTACTAAATAATTAATTAATATTAAATTTTTTTATAAAAAATAAATAAAATATTAAAAATTTTTAATTTTAATTTTTTTAAAAAAGTTAAATCTACTTCACTTAATCCGAATTAGACTGTGTAAGTGAATCATGAATTTAATTTTTATAATTCAAAATTTGAAATGATCCAATCTAATAAATCTAAAATTTAGAGTAATCCAATTCATAACCATTCGATTCGACTTATTTTTGTGAGGCGTACCTGGGCGGCATCCTATTTCTTAAGGTTGGTGCCAGTGCTGCTGAATACTAAATTACCTTATATCCAGAAGGAAAAAAAAAAAAAAAGAAAAAAAAACAGAAAAAAAGAACACTGCTAAATTACCCGAGGGCAAAACCATAAGTTAAGCCCCTGAACCAACCCCAGAATCGCTATTAAGCCCCTAGACTGTAATTGATGCATATAAGCCCTTGAACTCGGGGATCAAAGCAATTAAGCCCTTCTTCTTACGCCAACTTAACTGCCGTTTGGGACTGCCCGGCTGACTTAACTGCCGTTGAGGACACACCCCGCTTGGCTGCTTGGATGGCAAAAAATTGCCATGTCATGCTTACATGGCAAGGGATTTAACATTTAACCTGAATTTTTGATTTATTTGATAATTTAATTTTTTTATTTA